TTGATCCCAGTGGAACAATTAAAGTCATTTTGTGGCAGGAGTTTGGCGATAAAGTTTTTGAAGGAAGCACATATATGTTTAACAATGTTCGGGTTAAAAAAGATAAGCTAACAAAGGAAATTTATGTCAATACAGCTAAGAGTGGCACTACAATCACTTCAACAGACCCTTTTCAAGAGATTCTTCCAATTACACCTGAATTTTCAAGTCACCATAGCTGTAATACTACCACAGTTGTTGGAGAAATTTTAGGTGTAGAGAAAGTCTCTTCATATTTGTGCTGTGTTAAATGCTCCCAGAAGATTGAAGCTACCAATAGTATCATTATTGAGTGCACTAATTGCCATATGAAACAAAGAGCTAAAAATTGCCCGAGACATTGGTACGCACATATTCTGTTCAAATCTGCCATTGACAAATTGAACATAACTCTTTTTCAAGATGTGTTGAATGGCCTGCAAAATGTTGATTTCAGCAGTATGACCGAGGGCATTCTGGTTGAGATTTTGCTCACTCTACCTACCATAGAACTCACGTACCAAAGGTATACAAAGATTGCCTCAGCCATTACAGTTGTATGACTTGATATTTAGATAAATAATTTTAAAAATTTAACTTATACATAACTTATACATGTTGCTATCTTGTTTTATTGGTGACTTTGTGCATGGTAATATTTGGATACTTATTGGGATACTTACTGGACTAAAATTGTAACTATTAGTTACAATTTTAGTCCATTAAGTATCCCAATAAGTTAACATTAGATGTTAATATTTTGTTTCATTGGTGGCTTAAGGAAATATTTAGCCAAATAACTGAAACTTTAGTCATAAAATTGTAACTATTAGTTATGATTTTAGTCCAATAAGTTAACACTAACAATAAGTTAACATTAAATGTTGATATTTTGTTTCATTGGTGGTTTATAAAAATATTTGGACAAAAAACGAAAACTTTAGTCATATGGTTTTATGACTAAAGCAGTGTTTACACTACAACCCTAGGTGTACCTTTGGACAATTTTTTTTGTGATTTCAGCCTGTCTTGAACCAGGAAATCTGGATCACCCCCTTCTTTTGGTTCTAGATTGCCTAAGCTAGACCTCACCAAAATGCATTTTGGCTACAAAAATTAAGTGCAAAGCTAGATGTAGACAGTGGCCTAAGTAGAATGATAATTGGGGGGGGTGGGGGTGAATATTCATATATCCAGTTCTGCCCCACAGATTTCTTTTGTAATTGCAATACCTAACAATAGAAATCCATGGGGCAGAACTGAATATATGAATATTCACCCCCCCCCCAATTATCATTCTAGTTACACCCCTGGATGTAGAGCTGGCCTAGGCTTGTAGTGTAAACATTGCAGTCACAGCTCATCCTGGTATTTCATTTCATTGGTGACTTGGTGTATGTTGATATTTGAATAAAATAATATGAATATTATACTAAATGATGACTGTTGGCATTTTCATTTGCATTACATGTTTGTTAAACTTTAAGCATAATTTGTTTCGGTAGAAAAATGCAACCTTTCAAACTGTTCAATTTCTTTCCAAATTAACACATTAATTAAAGTGCAAATATAAGTGTAGTACTGGAAAAATCAAAAATGTAGCTTGCACGGGCCGGCCTAGTTTATTTCTTCTGGGATGTTCTACACGTATTCAGCAAGATAAACATTTCTGAATGAATGTGAAAATTTACAACATAATATGGTAATTATAAAAGTTAACGACATGGTTAGGTTCGTAAAACACATAAAATTGTCTCTGAAGTCTCAATAATTTTATGCTTGAATGCTATAAATTCAATAATATGAAACCAGATAACATACATATTTCGCTCGACCGCCGAGACCCCGGGCAAATAAAGTAAAATAGTTGAACGAATACCGGCGTACTCAACTCTTATAATTTATTTCAACATTATTTTTTAGCGAATTTTGCAATATAGTAGCAATTAAAAATCCAAATACACCTTTCGGTTTTCGCTGCGGCCATTTTGTATCCACAAATACTGATTGAACGGTTTTGTTCACTTTTGTCGCATAAAAATGCATACGGATCTAAAACGTTGGTCGATTGGCTGCTGTTTAAGTACGTCGTCCCTCATTGGCTGCGGACAACAAAACTAACCTAACAAACTTTCAAACCCGATAGCAATGTATCTGCGAGCGCAGAGCGCGCAGATACAATAAAAATCTAACATACTGATAACACTACTAAGGTGATCAACGTGCAATATGCTGCCTAATGCACCTTAGTTTGCAATTTTAATCTGTGTACATAACATCATGTGCTTGCAGGATAGCACTACAAAATTAAATTTGTGTATACACAATAAGTTCTTTGCTGATACTTTCCATTTGTAATCTTATATTATAATACTTTAGGCTACTCTTGCACGGCTGGCTACACTACGAATTATGACATCGCATTCATATCTTTACAAGAAGCTGGATGAATATGGATCTGGGTATCGTGACAAGATTTTAAAAGCTGTTGACAACCAGTGTCAGTTCATTAGAGAGAATGAAGCAGATACACAGCTATCATGCGACATTGGACGAAAGATAACCATTGACAACTTTGACTACCGGCAGAATGTACACCATATGACAGAACAGCACCAGAACATTGATGTTCACCTTGTTTCTGTGATGTCAACAGAAAATCGTGTTGGAGGCATAGAGTTCAGTGATGAGAAGAATGGTCCTGCAATTATGAAGCTTGAGAATGGGACATTCATACCAAGTGATGGTGACCATCAACTGCATAGGTCGAATTTTATCACCTTGGTTGGTCGCATACTTGTGGATAGTATACCATGTCTGAAATTCCTTGCTGATGTTGTCACGTCCCATATTCAACATAAATACAGCTCAGAGATGGCAAAGAAGACAGATACTGTAAGGAAATTTTTTTCTGTCTATTTTGATTTTCAGCTGGCAGAACATAATACTTTAAACCTATACTTATCCATCCATAATATATAGGTATTGTTATGTGTACCATAAATGTCAGTTTAACTTTATGTGTTATGAACGTACCTCTAGACATTTATGGGTCTCATTTATGAGAACGAAAATGATGCAGATGGTATCACTAACGTCATCAAAGAATTGCATCAGTACGTGCCCCACGGTCTGAATGATGATGAAACTGATGGAAAGTATGGTGAACAGGGGATTGTTGGAGACCAGCTTACCGTGGAAAGATTTGTCAACGCACATTGCTCTCTGGCAAATGGATTTACAGAAAAGGAACAGTGCAATGGCCTTCATCCTGAGATAGCAGATTGGCATTCTGGTAATAGATTCTTACAGGTACAGTATATATGAATATATAGTATTATTTTTTTAACAAGACTTCCAGGGAGAGTTGCGTAGTGTGGCAGCATACTGCCAGGAAATCTTTTAGTTGTAGGAACCACTGAGTATTTTCATAAAATACACAACAATGGTAACTCTGAATAAAGTAAGCATTTTTATTTCATTAATGTTTCGACTTAATTTAGTCATGATGAAAACCTATGATCTAAACCTATATAACTGACATATAATCAAAATCAGGCTAAAATTTAAACTAAACCTTTAACTATGTGTATGTTTATATTATGTTATGTACATTTTTTACAGTTAGCATTCCAGAACCTGTACAGCCCATCATCAAATTTTGACAAGTGCACAATGTATGCTGACCGTACTTTAATCAACCGACGAAATGTGAAAAGTGAAGTATCTTCTGCTGCAAATCCTTGCCGACAGTTTTTTACCTTGGAGGTAAAAGCTCGTGTCATTGCTGCTGGGTTGACAGTGTTGAAAATGGATAAATTAGAAGACGAACCTGCCAAGGATTTGTCCTTCTGGCGATAATTCCTCGAAAGTTGAGAAGACGAATTATCTCAAATCCATCTCTGCAAAGGTAAACTTAATTATTTTCCTATTATATGCTAGTAGTCATGCCTGTAGAAAAGCCCCCTGGGTGTGCTATGCCAAGAAAAATCAACTGAAAAATCATCTTGCAAGTTGCATGCAAAAAGTAAGAAATTAAAAAGGAAGAACGTGACACGGCACGCAATCAGTAGGTACAGTATCTAACTGTGCAGGCTAGGATGATATAGTACACAAATGAGAGGAAACAGAAGTCTGATATTATAATTCCTATATACTGTAGGTTGTTGATGAATTTATCATTGATGGAAGAAAGAATGAAAGAATCCTCCAGTGTATGGATAACATCGATCTTTGCGAGAAAGCTAAAGAGTTGTCACTGGATGACAATAATAGATACCGATGTAGATATGAAGGTTGTTCAAAAACATTTGCGCAATATGGCAAGAGAATGAAGGACCACGAGGCGAAACATGATCCACCTATATTGGAGGAGGTGAAGCAGTCAGTAACTGTGGATACCACATCCGATGAAGACCAAGATGACATGTTTTCCTATCAGAAAGCATTACTGGAGTATGGCATGCTCATCTTGAACTTTTGGGATGCCATTTCTGAAGGGGATGGTGAGCGTATCATGAGATGCTGGCGGTTTTTTACTGTACTTAAGAACAGAAGGTCAATCAGCTGCAAAATACTCGCTTGAGGGTTTATACCTTATGTGCCAAGCTAATGCTCTTTTAAGTCAACAAGCAGCTCACAGATTGATATGGAACCGGTCGGTGAAGAACAAAGATGGGCCTGGTGGCAACATACCTCTTGACCTCCAACTTGAGTTTTTCAACCGAATCATGAAAGCAGCAGTTAAGAATCTTGGGCCAAATGCTTCCAAATCATCACTCAACAGAATTTCACATTCCATGGGTGTGACAAATGTGTTGATGAGGCAGTTCGAACATGAACTTTCTGTTTACAGACGGTCTGGCAAACATATTACTACCTCGTCAAATAATGATTTGCGAAAGGTTGTAAAAGAACTGCTGAGTGAGAGAGCATTTCATGTTACTCCCGGGAGAAAATACCACCACTTTAAGAACATGAAGCAAAGTTTATTGCATGGTTTAGACTTGCAAAAGCTATTTAGCTGGATTAATGAACACAAGAAAAACCTTGTTTTACATAGAAGAGCTAGATAGCTGTGGTTAAAACTGTAGTTTGGTTCTATGTTATATTCCATGCACTGTACATATTCTAAGCCTAGTTTACATGCACACTTGATTACACTAAGAGTCCAGTAGCAAGGTGGCCTGACAACCTGATTATGCTATGCAAATTTCAAATCATTATTATCTCTTTAGAAACGTCTAAAACGTATTTGAACACGAGAATGTTTGCATAGCATGACCAAATTGTCTGGCTACCACTGCTGAAATCCAATGATTTTAACATTGGAACAATTTACTATATTTTAGTGAGGCATACGCTCTCATTTGAGGGTTTATCATTCTAAATACAACTCTAAATTAGTTAAGTAAGTTCTGAAACAAGCCGCTGTTACCAGAATAGTTTGAGTCCATCTCAGACATCTCAGTGTCACCAAGTGTCGTGTCTGCAATTGTGTTATCAACACTATCAAACATGTGGTTAAATGAAGAGTCGTTCCTGAGTTCATTCCATGCAGAATTAATTGATTCATCAAAAACAGAAGTGTTTCCAGCACTTAAATCACCTGGGATGTCATACTCAATATCATCAAAAACCTCTGCAATTACTTTAAGTATAACACAAGCATACTGATTCCGCCAAATTTCAATCCGTTCATGAACATCGGTCAAGCTAAATAGTAGATGGCAGTTGTCTAAAACTTGCTTAATATGGAATTTGTTGAATTCCATTAAAACATTAGGACATGAAACGTACTTTGTTGCATCCAATCTGTTGGTCAATAGTTTTTGAAATTGCAACAATTTCTGTGCCAGGTCTTCCTTATGTTCATCAGAGACACTTCGAGTGCGCAAACTACTATTAGTTGGGATACACAAATCATCATCATCTTCTAAATCAGCGTCCTTAGAAACCAAACACCAACTCAGCCCACAGTCCAGACCATTACAATAGCAATTAGCAGCACATACATCACAGCAATTGTGAGCAGGGCTTACTTCAGTGCAAGCATGTGTGCTAAACTTCCTCATTAACTCTTGCCGTCGGCAGGTATCTGACTGCAAGAATTCCTTCATGTCACATTCACAGTATGCTGCAAGCAACCCATTATAGAGAATGGTACATGTACTGCTCTTCCCATCCCTCCCAGCTCTTCCAGACTCTTGAACATACTGTTCTAAGTTTTTTGATGGCCCAAAATGGATTACACGTCTGATTTCTTTACAATTCACTCCCATGCCAAAAGCAATTGTAGCTATTAAAACACGCAAGTGACTGTCAATAGCTGTCATATTTGCTAAAACATGGTCTTTCACAGACTGTGGTGTGCCAGCATGGAACATCTCCACAAGCCGATTCTGAGGTAAACATGAACCATTGTACATGTTAGCACCAAGATTGATTTCAAACATGCGGAACAATACTGAACATTGTTTCCTTGTCATACAATAAATTATTGTTCTTTCAGTTTGGCACTGAAGTCTTTGAAGTTCAGTTATTAGTTTCCTGAAGACATCCTCAAGACCACTTTCCTTATCCATGTAGGAGAGCATATACATTAAATTCATTCTATTTGGGTTCTGCTCAACAGTATACAGTTGATCCACATTAATGTCAAGACTTTCCAGTATTTGAGCTTTGGTGGCTTTTGTTGCTGTAGCAGTTACAATTACAAGCTTGGTGTTCTTTGGAACTAAGGCTCGGAGTTCTCCAAGACACCCAAACCATTTTCTGAAGGGGATTTTTTTGTTTCCTGCAGACAAGCCCCTAATGAAAAAGCTAGTATCAAACCCTTATTTTAAATGATATATACTTTTGTAATTCAGGGTTTGTTTTGCATACGATAAGTACACACGAAAAACATAAATACATAACACTTTACACTTACCACTGAACAATACAATGAGCTTCATCAATAGCTACTCCCACAACTTTCGACGTGAACTCCGTGTCTGAAAATATATCTCTCCACGTCTCTGATGACAGGAAGCATTCTGGGGAACCATAAACGACTGTATAAACACCATTTTTAACTAGCTGAATGGTGTCTGGGTCAGAACATAACTCGTCAACGACAGCCACAGATGGTATACCAAGATTCTGCAAATATTCCACTTGGTCTTTCATCAACGCTTTAAGTGGTGATATGACAACAAGAACGCTTGTTCCTCGAGGGTTACCAAACAACGAGTCAAACACGACCGTCAAACTCTGAAATATTAGAGATTTCCCTGCTCCAGTCGGCAAGCTAACAAAAAGATTCAAATCTCTTTCAAAAAATGCTTTTATTGCTTCCTCTTGTTCTGGATACAAACTTTCAATGTTAAATAAAGTCGCAACAGAAGATAATGCTTTTCGCCAAGAATCTTCGCCAAACTTGCCGGCCGCCATGTTGCGATTATATAAAAAAATTTATACTATAATATAAACATAAATTAACCACGGCGAACCAATGAAACGCCTGTATTACCTGGCGACCAATCACAATGAACTATCCAGATTCTGGATAGTAGCTACGTCACAGAACACGAAAAGTTGCGCTGATTCATAGTCTGTTTCTTCCGGCAAAACAAAATAAAGCAAACAGACTATGCGTAGTCTACAGTAACTTTCGTTGCGTAAATTCGTAAATTTTGTTGCCCTTATAATGACGTATGAAGTTTGTGGTTAATAATTAAGAGGAGATTTTTTATTATGTCGCGTATTTTGGCGGGAAAACGCTCAAGACCTAAAACCTTTTCGTCGTACCACTTATTTTACTTTTATTCTTTAGATTATGTTGTGAACAAAGTTTTGAACTGTATTTGGTGAATGCAAAACATCAAACAAAGGAGTTATTACAAAATATAATACGGCTATCAACAATGTTATAATGTCATTTTCTTCTCAGCGTATCCCGAGGAATCTTCTCATTTTCACAATATTTTGAGATTATACAGTAAACATACTTTGTGGATGCTTTTCAGGTCTGCAAAATATTTTTAATGCTGAACATTTTAGTGCTGTTGTGCGTTGCATGAAGATATAACTGAGGTTTTGAGCATATATTACGCGAGATAGAAAAATATCTCCTCTTAATTATATAACAGACATGTCCTAGTGACTATTAAAAATTGTCGCTTACGGTAACTTTATAGTTTATGCATTAGCATTAGATATAGGAAGCCCTAACCCAAATGTTTTTTCTAACGAAACCATCTAGTATTATTATACACCACTTGTCAAAGTTTGGTTTTCGTAGCGTTTCATTGGTCGAGAACGAATCAGGCAAGAGTGACGAAATTTTGATGTCGCCAGCGCGACCCCCAATGCAGAGTGAGATAACGTGTTATCTTATAGGAAATTTGAGAAATAACAACTTTCATCACGTGCGGCGCTCCTGGACGTCCGACCTTTAGACGTCTTTTATGAATAGATATTTCGTTGTTTACCTTATAGTTTTGTTTTTCTTTGAAAAGTGGTATATAATAAAAAAATTATTTACCGAAAATCGACCATCGATATTTGACTCGGCTTGGCCTCGGGTCCACAAAACATAATGTTTCCTTCTTTCGCAGTAAATAAGTGTTAATTAACACCCATTTGTTGCAGTAAAACTTCGTACAATGTCATGGCTTCTGTCGATCTGCAAGAAAAAGCAAATTTTACAAGACTCAGTAGACTTTTAGTTGACAAAGGAACTGAAGCTTTGAGAAATACATTTGATACCATCCATACACCTGTTAGTCTACCCGGAGTACTGGCTGCAAACAAAACATCTCTACAAAAGTTAAAACCTCGAGTTATTAATAATTCCCAGTGGGATTTACTGTTTCCTCCGTCTGGCAACCCAGATTCCAAAACCTTTGATGTCACATTACTTACAGTTCTATTCCGAAACATTTATGGTTTTCCATCGACAGGATGGAGTGTAATGCCTCCGGATACTGATAGATCAGAGCAAGCGAATATCACAAGAATCAAGTGTTACAGAAATGAAGTTCTTGCACATGTAACAACAACTCGAATTGACAATTCAACATTTGAGTCTGTATGGAAGAAAATTGCCCAGGCAATAGTAGAATTGGGCGTTTCACAAAGTGATGTAGACGACTTGGAAAAATGTCCTCTTGGGCCTGAAGAAGTAGTGTATGTGCAAAAGCTTAAAGATTGGAAACTGCACGAAGATGAGTGTATTAAAATGCTTGTAGCAATTGAAGGTGCTGTTAATAATTTAACACAAATCGCTAAAGAAAACCGTGTCGAGATAAATAAAATGCGCCAGTCATTATCCAAGCGTACGCTATCAATACCCGGGGACACCAATCCTGAAAACAAATCCCGCATAGAAAGTGATGAAGATTTATTGCGAAAACTTGCTAAGCATAGTTTTAAGGGTAAAATTAAAAAAAAAAGTGAAATTTTTCCTTCCTGGAACAAGAGAGTGGTTGTTAGAGGAAATTAACGAGTAGTTTCAAAAGTGTGACAGCGACTCGAGAATAAAGTTAATAACAGCTGGACCAGGATTTGGTAAAAGTGTCTTTGACGCTAAAATATGTGAAGATTTTGAGAAGAATGGAAAGCTGGCTGCTTGTCACTTTTGTGATTTCAGTGATTCAAACCTAAGAGATGCGATGGTGATGTTAAAATCTCTTGCAAGTCAGATGTGCAAGAGCGTCCCTGGCTTTAAAAAGGAGCTCCTTGATCAGTTAAAGCGACCGCATCAAGTCAAAAATCTCAGAGATGCTTTTCGAATATATTTGCAAAATCCCTTAGATGAATTGGAAATTAAAGAGCCACGTTTAGTCGTGATCGATGGCTTGGATGAAAGTGCAGCAGATAATAAGAATGAAATTACTCATTTGATTGCTGAATATTTTTCTGATCTTCCCGAGTACATCAAAATCTTGGTGACGAGCAGGCCAGAGGTTTCCGTAGCCAATCTAAGACTAAGAGACGATCAAAAGACAGACATTTCCAATGTTCATGACAAAAATAACTCAGATCTTGCACTTTATTTCAAGAAATACCTTCCAAGTTTAGTTGACAGGGAAGTGAAACGAACTGATTTCTATGAGCATCAACCACATCTTCACCACTTTTGGCGAAAAAGAACTGTTATTAGTTTACTTTCCATTTTTGTCGCCAAATGCCAGGGCTCATTTCTCTATGCATATCACTTTCAATCTGGGCTAAGGGCTCGCTATGATCTTGAAAAGATAACAAATAATGACGTCATGAAGTTTCTCCCAGAAGGACTGAATTTTATTTACCAAGGATATTTCAAACGCCTTGAAGACGAGCTTAGCGACATAAAACATGAAAAGTTTGATGTGTTGAATATTTTGGAAATGCTGGCTGTTTCCAAAGGACCGCTTCTCCTCACTTTCATCGCTCAGGCTTTTGGTTTAGCTCCAGATTGTCGCGAAACGAAAGACATCATCAACAAAATTAATAAAACCGTATCGTGCTTGTTGTACGTTTCACATGACATGTTAACCGTTTTTCACAAATCCGTTATTGATTGGCTTCTTGCAAAGGGCTACAAAGATCACCAGTATACTGTCAAGGTCGATGATGGACATAGATCGCTTTGGCATTTATGCGAAAAGGTTTTTAAAGAAATTGAAGGTGTTCGCTCAGGAGTTGAGGTGGAGTTTACTAATGACATAAAATACGCTCTGAAACATGGTTTAAAACATCTAGAAAAATGTGAAGTGGAAGAAGGTGTGTTTTGGTCAGTTGATGTTATTATCGTGAGTTATATGTTAACTGTAATCGATTCAGTGATTGCGCGTTTCTGGCTCACATTACTCCAAAGTTCCTGCATTAAAAACGAAGATTTACGCGCCCGGATTTCGTACCATGTCATTGAATTTGATCTTTGGAATGCCCTGGATCGTATAGACTATTGCTTTCTTTCAAAATTCAACAAGTTAAAATGACATTATTTTCACAATGGTATTTACAAGCGGTTCTTACACATTCTCCAGAAGGTTATTTCAGCGATGATGAGAAGAAAATCGCGGAGACGCTACTATCAAACATTTCACCTTTTGTTGAGTCGAATTCTTACGAAGTTTCGGTTTTCCCGCGATCAGTCTGGAAACCGAGTGACTTTCGTGATATTACAGCTGTTGCTTTATCTAACGATCAGAAAAGTGTAGCAGTTGGAATAATTAATATTATCCATGTGATATCCCTACCAACTTTAGTTGAAATTATGAATTATTCAACAAAATCGGAGAAAATAGCATGTTGCACATTCTCTCCAGACGATTCGCTCATATTATTTGGAAAACTGGAAACGGCGTTTAACATTGCTGGAAGAAAGGAAGTTCCATTTTTCCCTGGAAATCACGAGACGTTCGAAACCTGTGCATTTTCCCCTAACGGCAAAAGACTGGTCACTAATGACGGTTCAAATACCATTAAACTATGGGACGTTGCAAAACAAAAAATAATGTCGTCGCTTTGTGCTGGATTTCGTGTTGGTTGGTGTTCTTTTAGCGTCACAGGGTTATTTATTATTGGAAATTCAGAATCTCCATTTTATCCGGGTTATTCGTTTTGTGTTTGGAACGCCATCACATTGCAAAGAAGTGATAAGCGAAAATTATCTCACGTGGAAAGGGAGAAACCAGTTGTGTTAAAGAGAATTAAATGTGAACGATGTTTTCAGTGGAGATTTGAGGAACCAAATTCTAAACAATTAGATATAAGGCTATATGACGAATATGAAAGAAAATGTATAATGTCGTGTCCGTGGATCTGCAAAGGTGTGGAGTGTTTTTTTTCTTTGGGAGAATATTGTTATTCGAGTGTCACAGAAAGTATTCCTTTGAATGGGATTATCGCTTGGAACTATCTTGTTGCAACTCCGCGAATGACTTTTATTGATCGATACAAAATGACTGCTTTAGAAGATAATCTGTGGCTCTATTCAGATAATAGAAAACTAACTGTCTTTAAGACATTAGCTCTTAAACAAGAGCAATCCTCTCTGTCACAGCCAACGAAGGTTTATGGGAGCTCGTTTTCTCCTGACGGCTCTCGACTTGCATCCTGCAACTCAGATGGATATATCAACGTATGGAATGTCTATACCAGCGAAGTTGAACAACGTTTCAAAAGCAGTCAATGTGGGTCAAGGTTATGCTGGTGGTCGCAAGATTTCTTGTTTGTGATTAGTGAATTTAACAGGATTCCAAAATTAACGCGATGCCCGGTAGATGACAATCTAGAGATTTTTTTTACTCACAGTCAGGACGTGGCGCTAGAGAACTTGTCTGAAGACTTGTCTGAATTCAGGCTAGAGGGCTGGTCTGATTTGCTAGATTCAAAGATTGGTTTTTCTGAAGGCTTTGTCACCTTGGCTCTCGAAAGGAATGAACCCGTGAAAGTTCTCG